CCTTTAAGTGGCTGCTTCCACAAAGCTGTCAGCCTCAGGTTGCTGGAGTTCGAACCTCACACCTCTCCCGCTGGCCAATAGTGCCCTGAAGGCATTCGAGGAACCAAAAAAAAAATAAATGATAAATAAAATAAAATAAATAAATAAATAAAATGCAAAACAAAAACCTAACAAGAAGTTTAGTTCGAGCTGTTCCAGAGGCACAAGGCCCTTGGACTCCGGCACAGGTGGTGGTGGGCGCTATATTCAAAACAGGCAGTGAAGGCCGGGGTGTGGTGGTCTGCGCCTGTCAGCTCAGCACCTTAGGAGGCTGAAGCAGGAGGATTCCAAGTTCAAGCCTGGCCTGGACGCTGCACAGTTCAGCGACTGAGAAAGCCCTGTCTCAAAATCAGAAATAAAATGGGCTGGGATGTAGCTGAGTACAAGGGCCCTGCGTTCCCCAAAGGCCATCAAGGACCAAGCGGGGACCTGCAGACTCCGTAATGCACCCGAAGAATCCGTTTTTAAAGTGTTCTTGAGGAAATTCTCGAGTACAACAGTTTCTTTTCTTTTTTTCCCTTTCCTCTCTTCTCTTCTGCCTCTTCTCCTTCTCCCCTCCTCTCGGTACTGTGGACTGAACCTAGGGCCTCCACACTAAGCTATATTCTACCACCTTTTCATCTTGAGTCAGAGTCATTCTAAGTATGTAGCTGTCCAGCCTGGGCCTGAACTTGTGATTCTTCTGCCTCAGCCTCCCAAAGTGCTGGGATTACAGGCATGCACCACCATGTGCTGTTCTGTGACTATATTTTGGTATCAAATTAATACTGGCCTCTAAGAAATGTTGAGGGCTGTATAAGATTAAAATTATTTGGAAAACTCTCTGTGGCTAATATAATTTCACATATTTCATTGTTATAAGATTATTTTATAGCTCAGCAGACTAAAGCCCCTGCTTAGGTAGAGTGCTGTCGCCGGGCTTTGATCCTGCGTGTGCAGCGCTGGCCCTGCCCCCAGGGCATGCTGAAGCAGTGACTGAGACTGGGCTGGCAGCGCGCTCCTGCAATCCCAGCGCCCGGAAAGCTGCAAACAGGAGAAACGCTGAGTCCGATCTATGTAGTGATACCCTGAATACCCTGCACCAAACACAGAAGAATAAAAGATTATTCTTATATCTAAGTTATATACTTATACTGTATTCTTATATGTGTTTGATTTGCATATTCTTATCTATGTTTATATATGTTCTTATATATTCTTGCTTTGTTTTGTTGAGGCAGGGCGTCCCCGCGTAGTCCACAGTGGCCTCAGGCTCACAGCGATCCTCCCGTGTTCCGGGGTGATGGGCACGCACCACCACGCCAGGCTTGTTCTTATATATTCTCATATATGTTCATTAACACCTGCTTTTACATTTATTTTATTTGTTCTACTCATTTGGATCCAACCTGGAGTTCTTTGTTTAATGCCTTTAAAAATTTTAATTAACAAAAATTTTTATGTATTTATCATGTGCGTCATGGCATTTGGACGTGACATGCTCAGAGGAATGCTAAACTGGGCTAATTAACATGTACATTCGCCTCCCATACTTGGTATTTATTCGTGCAGCCTCAACGGTTTATTTATTACTTTATTTATTACGTACTTAGGACACGGCCCCCAGGGTCCCGCTGCACCGCCGCCTCCTTCTGGTCCTGTTTTCAGCCTCCCAAGCGCTGGGACCACAGGCGCACACCAACGCGCCAGCCCCAGTCGCCGGCTCGGCGGCGAGCCTCAATAATTTGTAAAACATACTATGGTGCATTGTTATTAGTTATA